CCCCCCCCCCCCCCCCCCGTGTTGTGTATTGCATATCGACTCGAAGGAGTGGTGGACATCGCCGTGGAGGATCCGAAGATCGTTTATCTGAGGAACGCTCTCCTGGCCGACGAGGAGGCGTTACCCGGGCTGGGCGTCAAAGTGGGCATACTGGGTCACGATCGTTCGGATTACGACATAATGCTGATGCCGATCGAGGAGCAGGTGGACTTGACGGAGGCTGATTTGCTCGACAAAAGAGCGGCGAAAATACAGGAGCCGGACCAAATCTTGGTAGGTGCTTCGCATGGTACTTACAGCGGCGCAAAGAGAAAACTTTCTAACTGGATGTAGAAAGATTTGAATCTCTCTCTCTCTCTCTTCGTTTCACTTATCGTGTCATTGACAATTGTTCAGGAATACGAGACGCTGGAAGAGTTTCCGGTAAAAGAGGTTGAAATGCTAAACGAGAAATACGACAAGATCCGTAAGGCAGCGCGGAGAAAGTGGATTCTCCGGGAGTTAAAGCGACACAAACGCAAACCAAACGACACTTATTCTCTGCAAACGATCTAGACTGAAGGTTTTGGATAAAAATGACAATTTGTATACAATTGTACACGCGCGTTCGCAGACTCGAAGATGCGAGAACACACTTATGAATATACACTTACGAATATGCATCTTTCGTTTCGATTATCTTCCAAGGATAACACATGTCGAAAATAAACGTTTTAATTTATACGTACATGTCAAAAAAGAAAAAAAAAAAGACACTTCGCCGGTCGGGTGACAATATAAAACCGATACTGACGAGGATAAGTGACGAGGATGGGTGAACTGTATGTGCGCGTGGTGGAGGAATACTGTAACACAATGTAAAAAATATGCTTATTATAATTGGTAATGCCTAATCAAGAGTAATAATGCTGATATTTTACAAGGAGATACACGTATAGGTACATTTCAAGCAATGCGCTTATGTTATGATTAAATTCGGCATTGTCCTGTCCATAAATAATTCATTATTGTTGTACCTACTTTTACTACCATTATACATAGTAACAATGTATACGACACTAATTTAATCCCCAATATGGGTCGATCTGTAAATTATTCTGTTTTCGCGTTTCATTTACATGTGATCGATTTTTTTTCCGTTACTTAACGTCTCGCCTATGTATTCCGTTCACATTCAGCTAAACATTCATTACTTGAAGCGCGCTCCCTTACGAACCGTCTCCCTCGAACAAGTGACACGCATCACGTCGCAACGAGAAAAAGAAAAAGAAAACTGAAGAAACATTCCCCCCTCCCCCCCCCCTCTTTCGTGTGTTTGGCACAGTAATTTTGACAATAAAAACTAGATTTCATGATCACATCATCACCCATCCGCTCTTGCATCCGTGTGTAACGCGAGTATTCTGTAAATTGTATTATTTCATCGATGATCTAATCACACACATAATGCACGACATTCGGAGTTTTCCGTTACGCTTTGTTACGATATGTATTAAAATTATGATAATTATTTCATCATCGTCGACGCCACATACCGCGTAACCTTGGCGTTTTCATACCTCCACGTCATTCTTCACATGCGGAGTCACAAGGACATATTGTATGCACCTGTGAGTAGTTTTAAAGTCAAATGGCAGTAAGTAATTCAGCCATCTTCAGCAACGGCGCCGATCTAGTTTTACTTTAAAAATCCTGTGCCTTTACACCGTGTAACAAAAATCCCCGTTTCTCAGATAATCATTAGAAAAGTATTGTTTCGCGCGGTGTACGCGATAACCCAGCAAACACCAAGTAACAGTAGCATCGCATCAAATGTTATAATATCCAAGTCAACAAACAGAAATGCAATGTAACATGCTGTACATAACAGTTACATCGTTGAGTGGCAAATTATAACACCGATGTAATGTCACTTGATGTTTGCTGAGAACGGTACCCTCCCTTATCCAGCCGTTGTATGCAGCGTGTCATCTTCTCGCTAAGGACGCAAAGCTTCACGTTATTGCGCACTCAGTAACAATGTTGAAAAATAAAAATTCGTTCGGCACTTCTTTTTTCGTTAATTTTCACCCTCACTTAAATATTATAGCTACTTGTCGCTGAACATTTGCCTACATGAATATAATACAGAATGGACAAAACTGACAATATCGATCATTATGCACGTATCATTAATAATATAATATGTGATTATTTTTTTAGCTGTGTTATTGCAGCAATCAGACGATAAAAATTAATTATTTCTACATACACATACGCATGTATGTATGTAATGTATGTATGTATGTATGTATTTATGTATCGTAGACATATCTATATGTCTTTCTTATAAATTCAGTCACGTGTTTGTATAAATATATTCTATGCACAAGGTTCTTCCTCTTTCTGCAATGACAATCAAATTGTGGAAAAATGTGTTTTATTCGAATGTTTCATTTTTCTTTTTGTTTAACAAATGATATTGCGTAAGATATTCCTCATTGAATCATCCGTTTCTTTTCGCGAAACGTAAATGTTACCCGCTGCGAACGTAATCTTGCGAATGAATAATGGACTACGGTAATTTCGTCTAACGATGAGAAAGGTACTTCGAAATGATATGGACAATCAAATCATCTTTCGCGAATGTTACGTCGTTCAAAGCCCTAGTTATTCCGCACTTTTAATCGGTAGCTAAATAATATTCATAAGTCAGAATTTCTATTTTACAACTGTTATAATAGAATTGAGATAACAGATAAAATCATTACAAATCAGTCATACAAAATACTCTTGTACCTATTATTCGAGTAATCGAGCAATTAGCTAGACATTATGTGTGTGTATGTGTGTGTAGTTCAATAAATATGGGAGCTATATTAGTAAAGTAATTTAGATAATTCTTGTTCTTCTTCGTTTTTAGTAAAAACAAGTCGTATATAAAAATTCCAAATACGTTTTCCGCGTATTTTTACCTCGTGTGTGTGTGTGTGTGTGTGTATGTGTGTGTGTGTATATTGGAACCTAGCCCGAACCACTTGTGTAACATTGTTCGTTCCCTCCACTCCTCTCCGTAGTACATCCCGTATCCTTAAAAATCATCACATGTATTATTAAGACTACGACAATTTTTCTAAACGAATTTCTCGAGTGCAAGTCAAAAAATGTTCGTAAATAAGCTACAAATGTATTGCAGGTGTGTTATGACGATGACAGAAAAATGTCCATGGTTATTTGTCAAAAAGGATGGAATTTTCGGTTTTTTACGTCGCTACTCGCCTCACATAAATCTATCCGCGGTACTGTACCCCGATGTACTGTTTTACATTAAATTCATAAGAATTTTCGCTACTGCTTCATTTTTTTTCTTTTTCCTTTTTACTTTCTGTATGTCGATCCCTGCCATTATCTCGGTTTTGCGAGGCTACATATAATGACAGTCTATAAACACAATCTTACATTTTTAGCAGCACAGACACGAACAGTACTTGTCTCTACGTTATGAGGAACACACGCGAACTCATCTCCAAATTATTACATTAAGATTGGTGGGGCTACGAGGCAATGTCCGACATAAGCTGAGCGAGCAAAGCTGGCTCTAAGAGTCCATGCGTTTGCCCCGTTATCCTCTCCAAATTTCGCACGTCTTTATCAACCTCCTCCAGGGCTCGCTCCAATTCCTCCTCTTCCTCTCTCGACGGTTCGTACTCTCCGTTCCTACCCTCTATAATGTGAAAAACAAAAAAAGACACCCTTTATATCTGGCACAACCGGTGAGAAATGGAGCATGCTCGATTAAAATTGGTGATATTTACATAATGGCCACGATATTTGTGCGTATGCGAGTAGAACATAAGTATTGTTGCAATTACCAATAAATAAGTCGTTAAAAGCATCGGCGGGTAAGTTGTTGAGCACATTGCCGAAGTCATGTTCAGCGGAATCCAATGAAGCGAACACCTCGTGATCTCCAAGCTCGACTTTGAGTCCGCCGCCCAGCCCGAGCGAGCCTAATCCCAACCCTAGATTTAAGTTAGACGAATTTGAACTTCCCTGTGGAACATTCAGGTTATTTAATGTCTTGCTGTGATTTTCACTACAGTTTATTTGGCTCATGTAATGACTCTCCTCGTGCATCAATGCGGAACCCTTAGTCTCTATTTTGTTGCTCGAGGGCGGCCGCTTGCGCTTCTTCGGCCTGGACTTGGGCTTAGGCCTCGGGATCGTGGGCGAGGCTGGCTTTTTACGAGCTTTCTTTGGTTTGGATTCTTGGGCTTTACGGTGATAATTGTCCCTTTTTCTGGCATGCTCCGGACAGAGAGGTAATTCGTGGGCGACGTCAAACACAGGAATACAACACTGTGTGTTGTCACTAAATTTGGCAGTGCAATGCTCGAATAAAAGCTGATCTCCGTTTAGCATGATGTGGCGGGAACAGTGCCGGGTGCAAGGCAGAGACGTTTGCTGGCATCCTTCCGCCCCGCATGGTCCACCGACTAATAGTGGCCCGTCGAGTACCTTGCTGGTGCCCGGGGAATCGCTCAAGGCTCTCGCGGTAGAGGCGGGATCTTTGTAAGCGGCTTCCAACAGGCACCGCACTCGGTGTCGCAAGAGAACCTCGGCGTCCGGCCCGACGGTGTCCAGCTGAAGCAGCCGTCGTTGCAGCTGCGAGCGCATCTGGGACAGCCGGGCCGCGCGATTCAACGTCGTTGGGGATTCACCGGGGAACCAGTGGCGCTGATAAGTCATCATCTCGTCTCCGCTCGACTCGCTGTCGGATATCTCGTCCCCGGCTCTAGGATAATATAACAGAGTGTGGTCCCGATTTTGCCGCCTGGATCGTAATCTCTGCAGATTCTCAATGTGTCGCTGCTTGTGCTGGACGAAACTTGAAAATTTCTGATCCAGGTTCTCGCCGGCGACCTCGACGCCCGCCACGGTGTTTACCCCGATGGTCGTGCAGTAGCCCGCGTCCGTCACAGGCGCTATCCTCGTCTTCTGCTTCATGCATTTCCCCTTCGACTTACTGTTCTTACAACTTTGCATCACTTTCGAATTTGTAGGTGGAATTTGCTGCACCACCGCGGCATTTCTCCCCGCCGCCGTGGTGAACGGTTCCGGTTCACTGAAAATGTACGGATCTACATCTTGGTGAGCCTCGGTTTTCAGCAAAGCCTTCAAACGCTCCGAAAACTTCAATTTACTGTCCATGTTTGAGTTTTCGGATATAAGGACCTTCATTGGTTGCTGCTTCTGTCCGGACCTGTTCCACCTGCATTCTCAAACCCTCCAAGTCAACCCTCTCTTCCTATCTAGGTAAAACTTAGTTCACGCTATGTGCCAAGATCCAAGTACAAGCCATCGATTAAGAAATATAATACTGAGAGAGTACGAAAATTAACAAAAACAAATAGGTATTATTGTATCGTATCACAGATATTTCTTATTACGTTCTCCAGGTAAAAAAGGAAAGAAACGATCAAAGTCCGCGCGACCAACAGGCTCGGTGAAGCCGCTGTACAAAGTTAAATAAATTAAAGATAGTTGTGCGATGCTAGTTACACTTGAGTATATATATCGACGTTGTCCACCTTCCTCTCTGAACATATATGCGTACGTACAATCGGAGGAGTCATGGGATTTGCTCGTCGAGAAGTTAAGCTAAAGTTACCGAAGCAACTCGAAGAGTTCGCACGAAGCGATTACAAAACCCTCACGTCGGTTTCACCACAGCTCGATCAACCTTCGTGGTTACGCTTACAAAGTGCGGGTAACACTCGGAATTACAAGTGTGTACATATCGGCATATACATCATTTAAAGCTATACGCTGCTGCGAGTACCGCGACAATCTCTGCGATATACATGTCACGTACGTGCGATACTGAGGTTCCCTGGTTCGTGCAGCAAGCGTGAACTTAGTTCGTGGCTAGATCAGGATAAAAACAATCCTTGCCTCGCATAGTAGTTGTCTACACCGGACATGCCCTACACATGTTTGAGCAACTGCGTCGCGCGTCGGTGCGTAGAAGCGGCGGAAACTGGCAGATTCGACGATCGTCGCGGATCCAGAGCCATATCATCGAGCGAGATCTGTCCACTGTTGACATAAGAGCGCACACACGTCGCCGATCGAAGGTGTGCGTGGTTGTGGTTAGGTTCGCTCGTCACATCGACAACGGGACACCGTTGCGTGATACCGCCGCGACGTGGTTCTCTCGCCGACGCAGCCGGATGAACTCCTCGGAGAGATCTCACGACATACTTGCCCTCGACGGCGGTAATCGCGATCCTGCCGAATCTGGACTCCGTGTATGATCGGTCCCGTGTCTCGCTCGAAGTCCGAGGTTGGAACAATGGAAATCGCAACTGGGACGACGGCGACCTACGCCCGTCGACCAATCAGACTTGGCCCGATCTCTTCCCCGTGAGAGAGCCGCTCGTTACGTTACAACCGGAGTTTCACCCACAAATTTCAACATTCGTCGATAATAACATTAGAAAGACATGTCAGACGTGCGGGGGAAGGAAAATGGCGACCAGCGCGCACACGGCCAGTTCCTGGACACGAAAAATCCCTGAATACGCCGACAGGCTCGCGAATACGACGCTCGTAGCGTTCCACACCGCCGCGCGGAGAGTCGCCTAATTTTAGATGATACCGTAATGCACCGTAAGGAGGAACGTGCCTCGCACGGACAAAGGACAAACTCGCTGCCGATGACAAAGACCGTTCCGCCTATCGTGTATCAACGCGACATAACCTATACGCTGATCATTCCCCGTCCTACGTGCGCGAGATCATTCTTCCCTCGATGACTCTCCGCGCGACGGCTGGAAAGGAGGAAGTATGGGCGTGGATAAATTCATCGATGAATCGCCGACGGCGATCGAATTCACCGTTATTCCACGAATCGCAATGACTATCCAAGTTGATGAGGACTCGAGGAAAATCGAGTCTCCTCCCGTTGGATCGATCGCGTTCCTTACATCTCATCCCCCTCGTTTACGGCGCTTCCATTGTTCCCGCTTCGAGGAAGTGTTCGCACGCCCGCGTGAAAGAAAATTCGCATGGTCGCGCGCTTTCTCCCCTTATCAATGAGATTTCAAAACCTCCCCCCGTCGCGCTTGATCTCGCGCGAGCGGCCGTCGTGGCGCACCAATCAGAACGATCCACGAAAAGTCCGTGCGTCTCGGCAACGAGACATCACCGCGCATCCGGAGAACGTCGGAACTTTATATACGGAGGCGGTGTAGAGCGCGTCCACGGCTCGTGCGTTTTGCGAAGAGGCAAGGGTGAATGACTGTAGGACGATGTTGCGGCCAGGCTGCGAGCTCCGCGCGAAGATGTTGAGCATCCTAGGTGAGTGACGACCGCGAGATTTCGTCCCGTTAGATCGCCGGCGAGGTATCGACGCTAGCCGCGCTTCAGATTACTTCGTTCGTTTTGGTGACGTTGCGATCCGGCATATCGCGCTTTCGAAACGGGATTCCGCGTGGGCGACGCTGCAACAAGTGTTATCTCTCTCTCTCCTCATTGAATCGTGCGATCCCTTGTTTTCCTCGCCTTATTAGCTTATACATAATGCTAATTCTGACTTGTGCTGTTTCTCTGCTGATCTCTTCTTCCTCCTCCGCAGGCTTTCTTCTGTTAGTCACCGGGGCGAATTGTATGTACGCGTCCAACTCGGCCGTCATTGATCTCAGGCCGAATAATTTTGATAACTTAGTGCTCAATAGCGATCATATCTGGATGGTTGAGTTTTACGCGCCATGGTGTGGACACTGCCAACAGCTGATGCCGGAGTACGACAAAGCCGCCACTGCTCTGAAGGTGATACGTCGTCTTTTATTATTACCTTTCATTTATCCCAGATACATATGTTGACTCACTTCTCACGTCGTGTTTTGACAGGGTGTGGTGAAAGTTGGCGCTGTAAATGCCGACGAGCACAAGTCCCTCGGAGCTAAGTATGGTGTGCGTGGCTTTCCCACCATTAAGATCTTCGGACTTGACAGCAAGCCAGAGGATTACACCGGTCAGAGGACTGCAGCTGGTATCGTTGATGCTGCACTGAACGCTGCCAGTCAAAAAGTTCGAAGAACCTTAGGCGGTAAGAAAACAGGAGGTGACTCCAAGGTAAGCTATGGTCTGATTAATTAAACAGTCTTGAAAACTTAAGAAATATTCGAATAGAGACTAGCAATATTTTATGTAAACGGATGGGTAAAGTAATTGGTCAACTTGCAAGTGGCAAGTGGTAGAATCAACCCGGTTGTTCATTTACAGAGTAAAAGCTCCAAGGACGTGATAGAGTTGACGGATGAGAACTTTGAGAAAACCGTCTTGAATTCGGAGGATATGTGGCTGGTCGAGTTTTACGCCCCTTGGTGTGGCCATTGCAAGAATCTTGCGCCCGAGTGGGCAACAGCTGCCACGGAACTAAAGGGGAAAGTCAAACTGGGTGCCCTGGATGCGACCGTGAATACATTGAAGGTAAGATACACGCAGTAGCGATAGTCTTCTTCAATTTTAAGAAGCGTGACCTAACTTGTTGGAATTATCGTAGGCCAGTCGGTATAACATTAAAGGCTACCCTACCATCAAGTACTTCCCTCCGGGTAAGAAAGACGCTGATTCGGTGCAAGAATATGACGGCGGTCGCACCAGTGACGATATTGTCAACTGGGCGCTCGAGAAGTTGTCAGAAAATATCCCAGCACCGGAAGTTACACAAATTACGTCCGAGCAAAGCTTAAAGACCGCTTGCGAAGACAAGCCGATCTGTGTAGTCTCCGTTCTACCAGATATCCTGGATTGTCAATCCGACTGCAGAAACACGTATTTGAAGACATTAAATAGCCTCGGTGATAAGTACAAGAAGAAGATGTGGGGGTATGCATTAGACTTATAATATCGTTAATATGCGGAAACAATTTAAAATTAAATTCTTACAATGAACAATAAATTTCCTTGGTACATTTTTTAGTTGTAATTATGAGTAAATGGAAATTGTCATTTTCGAAATATTTGAACTTGTGTTGCCAAATTTACTTTAGTTTTATTGAGACAGAGAGAGGGAGAGAGAGAAGCTATGCCAAATTTAACATTCTAAAATTACTTAGATTAATGTTGCGATTACTTTTGATGTAATTTGTAGTAATTTTCTAAAGTTGATGCTTTAAGGAAGGCAACTGATTTCTGTAGTACATTCTACATCACGCAATCACAGTTTAATTTTTGTACCGATAATTTATATGAGATTGTTCTTTCCGCAGATGGGTCTGGTCTGAAGCTGGCGCTCAGCCACACGTCGAGGAGGCATTAGAGATCGGAGGTTTCGGTTATCCAGCGTTAGCAGCAGTCAACATCAAGAAGATGAAATATTCATTGCTGAAAGGAAGCTTCTCGTACGACGGAATAAACGAATTTCTGAGAGACTTGAGTTACGGCAGAGGTGGCACTGCTCCTTTGAAGGATGCATTGCCCCGCGTTCTCAAGACGGAGCCCTGGGACGGCAAGGACGGTGTTCCTCCTCAGGAAGAAGATGTCGATCTCAGTGATGTTAATTTAGACGAAAAGGACGAACTATAATTTTAACCAAGAGCCAATATATACATACTTTTTTTAAAGCATTCGCTGCACAAAATACAGATCTTTCCCGGCAGAACTGATATTAAGGCCGTTAAGTTTCATTGGCTCGAAATTTATTTATACAATATTTCGAATATTTATACTTGTAAAATTCTATCGAGTTATTGAGAATTTCGCGATGAAACTTGTGGTTAAACAAAAGCGAATCATATTATTTTCGGTAATCTCTAGGAAAACTTAATATCAGTATGTTAATATAGTCATTTGTCGGTCTATGTGTCGAAATAGGAGTTCTCAGGTGCATCCAGTTTCATAGAAAAAATAAACATTTAAGTGACTCTTCCATCGAAGCCAACTTTATACAATTTTATTACGTTACTCCAGAGAAACTAACGGTACATTTTCGACCTACATGTAATATATAATTTATATATTGTCATTTAATTGTTTGTATCTCTGAAAAGGATAGACAGTTTGAAGAACGTGTTCCGATATCATAACGCATTTATTAGTCCATTTATTAGAAAAAAAAAGAAGTTAAAGTTATGTGTAAAGTCGTATAGTTTCATATTTGTAATAAATATTATATATCGTACATTTACATGTATATGTTTTTACAAAAGTCTTTTCTTCATGTGAGTATTGTGTCACCTTAATATATATTCTAATAGCTTTAAGGAAATTCACCAATGTACACTTTGCAGGACTAATTGGTTCTCCCTGTAACGGGACCAAATTCAGAAATAAGACGAGAAATTCAGAAATAATAACGAGAATCAGTCTATCGTTGTAATGTGTGTGTGTGTGTGTTAGCGCCCCGTAATATTAAGCTTGTTGCCATCCAGTTAATCAAATGTATCCCTTGTGTAGAGTCTTCCAAATTGACGTACATTGTATATTAATTGTATAAATTAATTACACACATGTGCAAGTGTGCGAAGTTAACGTCGTTTTTAACACATTTCATATGGCGCCCTGTTCTTACAGTTCGCATATATATATATATATGATCGATATCAAACTTTTCTCGGTGCAGAAATGTTTTTTCTGCACTCTGACGTCACATCATTCGCCATCAAAATATGCAATTCCAAGAAAGTGTATAAATGAGATATATATCTCGTGAGCTATATGCAATGTGTTAACATGTGCATGTGTTTGAAATGCATACTTTTATTAATATCATTAGGATCTGTCCTTCCCCTCCCCCCCATCGCAATGGTATAAATTGCAATAAAAAAAATTATTTCTATACCGATTGCTGTAAATGCTTGTAAAGTTTATAAAAATTTATAATTTACTCTATATTATATATTGTGTGTAAAAAGAAATATAAAAAAAATGCTAATAATCTCAACGTTTGGTACTTTTCTACTCAAACATTCTGAGATAGTCAGTTCATGTAGTAAAGTTCGTATAAAAGTGTCGATACCCTAGGCGAGTCTATCTCGTTTACGTAATCGTAGAATAAACGTAAGATTATCTTCCCACTTCTCCATCTTAACGAATTACCGATACATAGCCTGATACGTCATTCGAGTTATGATACAGTGGCATGTTAGGAGTGTCGCTAACAGTGCACACTGAGTTAACGTCTGTTAATTCCATAGTATCGTAGGACTGTTCTTTTTTACATATGTACGGGTATAATATGAACACATAGTACGTTATTGTACTGAGTATAATTACACCTAAAATTATTCCAATTATCCCCCACGCTGAAACATTCATTTTCTGAGTCGGAGGTACATTCAGCTTCCCGGATGCCGTCGTTTCTTCCAATTTTGGATTCGTCTTGTAATATTTGGCTTGTGCACTGTTGGAGTAACCGCTCTGACGTCCTGATTGATAATTTTGCTGCAAGCCTTGTGAGCGAATTCCACTTTCAGCCAATGTGAGGGACCCTGAAATCATTCATATCATTGAGTATTAAAAATGCGTCAATGTAGTCAAACTATTACTTTAATTATTAAAGATAAAAGAAACGACAATTACAGGTAGTGTAATTATGATCAAATTAGAAGCACAGAATAAGAGCGAAGTTTTAAACTCTGTATTGCTTGACAGAACAATAACACAAGGAAGTTTGACGACCTTACCGACAATCGCAATAAAGGCAAAACAGTATACTGTTTTCATATTGTAGAAATTCTATTGTAACTTTATTCAAAGTAAAAGCGTCTCTTGTTTGTGTGAATCTATTGATGTGAACCAAAACAACTTTCAGCGTGGGTCATAAACAAAAGGGTCGCGTCCTTCAACCCTATGGGCGTTATTATGGCGGGTTTACATTGCGTTCGGCGCGCGATACACAACGTTCAACGTCCAATAGGAAATCTCGCGTTCTAGGAACGTAATGTCGCTAGTTACAGTTTCGAGAAAGTGAATTCTCCTATTGGTCATCGGGGCGACAATGTGGATCCTTCGCAAGGAATTTCACGTCTACCTATCAGAGAATTGGAGAATTTGATAACACTGCGCGTGCAATGTGCGCACCTTTTGACACACCTCGCACCAGTCGCCACTAAGCCGATTTGATTACGCTATGTGGAGGTTAGGAACTGTTTACCTGTTAAATTTGCAACTTCGACGAGATCGTAGACGAAGTATGACTGATATCTGAAGACGGGCGATCGGATACTCTCGTGGGAATCATGTTTTTTCCCGTAGGATGGCCGCGGGTCTTAAACGCCAGCGAGCCGAACAAAATAAATGCCGTAGTGTGCAACAGAGACAAAATTCTCTTTGCTATTCTCACCACGGATTCTCTCACCATCTGGTACTGCAAAGTACGTAATTTAGGTCGAAGGGCATTTTTCAAATTATTCACATTGCAATTTCCGAATTCTCTTCTAGCTTCATTAAAATTTAATTTATTTCACATTTGTACGCGCACATTTGTTTATCAGGAAATTTATGTTGCAGCCCTGTGTACCAATTGTATTCAGTAGGCGATCGGAAACTTCCTTACGAAAGTACGGTTGGAATGTTTTGGCACAATGGAGGCCGGATTCCAGCATGCTGGTTATCGCGACGTCAGACAGCTATTTACTGTTCTACCGGCTCTCGGACAGCAATCCGGATGGCCGGGGACTCTACGAGCAACGAGACTCACCGGTCACCAGTCTGAAACGAGATAGTGCGGAATTGTTCATCAAAGAAGTCATTCCAAGTCTTGTCTTGAATTTTGTAAGTATTGTTATATAATCCGTATGTTATTATACTAAATATACTAAATATATGTTCGAAGGGAAATTTAAAAAAGCTAATAAGAGGAAAAACTCCCAGAGTTTTATAAGACTAATTGAATTATTGTTATTGATAGGAAAAGTCAGCTTGGATTGATGGCGGCGTTAGTTCTTTAGTCTGCATACGAGATGAACTCATGATAGCGACCAAAACCAGCCATGTAGTACGCTACAAATGGGACGGCAGTATGAATCGTGACTACTCCTTAGATTTGAAACGTATACCATTCAGTATTGATCAACAAATTTCTACTGTAGCCGTGCCACTCACAGAAAACAATGTCTACGTCACCGACATTGAATATTCGCCTCTTGTCGGAGGTTTCGCTATTGTGCTTAGTGATGGTAGGGCTGCATTCCTTACTGCTCAGTCCTTGAAATTCGACCCTAATCAAGTACAGGGAATCTGGGCTCGAGATTTGGACGATGCGACTTGCGCTGCTGTTAATCATAAATACCGACTAATAGCCATTGGTAGGGAAAAGTAAGTGTCATTTGTGATATTCAGTGTTGATTGTAAGTTAGCGAATGTAATTTGAAGTGGGCTTATAGTTCCGAGATATGAGAGGGGAAACAGCTTGATATAATGTTGATGTAACTTGCACGCATTTGCAGCTCCGAAGGTGTCGTTTATTACGTCGATGAAACTACAGGAGGCTTGGAGATGTCGCATACCTTGAGTCTGTCCTCCAAAGATTATCCAGGTCGGCCAGGCAGCGTCCTATGTCTTAGATGGACGCCCGACAGTTGCGCTATTGCTTTAGCTTGGGAAGGCGGTGGCCTGGCGTTGTGGAGTACCTTCGGAGCTCTCTTGCTCTGCAGCTTAAAGTGGGACTACGGCCTAAGAGTGGATCTGACACACGATAATCCTCTGCAAATTCATATGATGGAGTGGTCGGCGGAGGGTTATCAGTTGTGGATGCTACGAGAATCTCCAGGACCCTCTGTGACCGAAGAGAACGGGAACGAAGCCTGCTCCAACGGAAATCGCTCTCTCATTCAATTGGATTTCGCTAAAAGCCCCTTGACGATCAATCCCTGCATGGGCCATCACGGCCACCTGTATCTTCAAGGCGAAGACAGACTGTACTTGAACCTTGGCGCCGGGATATCCTCGTCAGCTTCGGGCTTTCATCTTGCCTCTGAAATGCCTAACGACAGTATGCTTCAGACACTCGCCGGCTGCAAACAATGGCTCGTTGTGCCGATTCCAACCACATACAGCGGCTCTAATTGGCCGATTCGGGTAAGCGCGTTTATCATTGCTCGTTTAATTTAGATTATTATTAATCGTATATTTGAGAAAATGGTTTACATTATTAGCGGACTTCGTAGAATCTCATTTGATCCGAGAGCCTGCAATTTTGATAATAATGTAGCAGTGTAGGCGTGTAATTGAGTCAATTATGCGTGATATTAATGAAGAAAGCTGCCTTGTGGTCTTCTTTTTTTTCAAATATGTAGATATGTTGTGTTACATATTCATATAATTTATATGTTTGACAGTACACTGCAATAGACAGCGAAGGCTTAAGCCTCGCGGTTGCTGGTCGGACGGGACTGGCGCATTATTCTCTGCCCTCGAGGAAGTGGAAGTTGTTCGGCAATGAGACGCAAGAGCGTGATTTTATAGTGACCGGTGGGTTGTTGTGGCACAAAGGATACCTGATAGCCAGTAGTTATTCCATCCTGGACGATAAGGACGAGATCCGAATTTATCCGCGTGACACACGCCTGGACAACAGCTACGTTAAAAGCGTTCGGATGCCGTCGCAGGTGTTACTGCTCAACACCATGAAGGACAGCCTCTTGACGTTCTGCGCGAACGCGCAGATCAGTATTTACGACATGGTGATGCAAAAAGACGTTGGTAAGTGGGAGGCGTGACAACTGTCTTTGAACGGATTGAAAGTGTTTTCCGGGAGAACTTCCGAAGTATTTTTGGCTAATTTTCCATATCACGCGATGTCCGTTATCTTAGAAGCCGGAGGTATCGAGCTAACGAGAATACAGACTGTGGACATCAGCGGACTGTGCGTGCATCCGGCTTGCGTGGTGAGCGTGACGTTGACTACGATTCGCGCGGAGACCGCCGGCAGTCACCCTCACCCTGAGAGTCTCTTGCTGAACGTATCCGGCCGCCTTCTCATGGTTCAACGCGAACACTCCACGGACAATTCGGACGTGCCGTTTACGTGCAGCGCACCGACAGTATTAGCGTCCTACGTTGAGAACGTTTGGGTGCCGTCTCGCTCGAGAAGGGACAAGCCGCACTTGACGGAGGCCCTCTGGCTGTTCTGCGGAGCCCACGGCATGCGGGTCTGGCTGCCGCTTTGGGTGCCGCGCAATCATCAAGAGAAGGCCCACGCCTTCATGAGCAAGCGCATCATGCTGCCGTTTCACCTGCGGATCTATCCGCTGGCGATACTCTTCGAGGACGCGATTCTACTCGGGGCCGAGAACGACACTGTGCTATTCACATCGGACACTAACTCGCCCTTTTCACTGCCCTTCAATCTGCTGGAGCTCACGGTATTGGTTTCGCTCTCGTCATATCTTGAAAATACCCCGATCTTGATACAAATATTGTGGCACCTCCGTGTAAATTCGAGTTAATTCGTACAGTTGAAGTTAATTAAAGCGAATCTCTTTTAACATTGACGTGAAAAATCACTTTAGCGTTCTTTGATTCGATTAATTTAATTTGATCAACGACACTCTGTCGCTCGAGGATGACCCTTTTATATTTCAGAGCCAAGTGTATCTGCATCAGATTCTGCGTCAGTTGATACGCCGGAACTTGGGTTACCACGCGTGGGAAATAGCGCGCTCGTGTTCCGCACTGCCGTACTTCCCGCACTCGTTGGAGCTGCTGCTGCACGAGGTCCTGGAGGAAGAGGCGACGAGTAAAGATCCCATTCCGGATGCTCAGTTGCCGTCCGTTGTTGAGTTCATCCGCGAGTTCCCCGGCGTTTGGGCGAGAGCCGTCGTGCAGTGCGCCCGGAAAACCGAGATCGCCCTTTGGCCGTATCTGTTCTCCGTCGCCGGCCCTCCGAAGAAGCTGCTGCAGGATTGCCTGCAACGCCAGCAACTCGACACCGCCGCCAGCTACTTGATCATTCTGCAAAATCTGGAACCGTCCTCCGTCAGCAGACAACACGCTACACTTCTGTTAGACGCCGCGTTGGAGCAAGGTAGATGGGAACTGTCGAGGGATCTCGTGAGATTTCTCAGAGCAATCGGTAAGCACTTCAATCTATAAACTCTCTAGTGAAAATCAGCGGAATTATATGTATGATTCTTTGTCAATTTGTGTCTCTGGGATTGCCAGATCCGAACGACGTGGAGTCGCCGCGCACATCGTGGAGCGGCAGTGCGAAACTGGGTGGTCCCCCGCAGACACCTCCGCTTTCCCCGCACGAGGACGATCTGTCCTTGGTCCTGGGCACTATGCAAGTCTCAAGAAGCCGCAGTTACAGCACCACCGTGACGCCCAAAGTGCAATCCGACAAAGATATCGCGCCGTCCTCGATGCTCGAGAAAACTCGGAACGTCGTTATGAGACGGAAGAAGTCGGTGCCGACCGTAAAAACCGAGAAAACCGAGAACAAGTAATTATCACGCTCTTCTAAATACTTCACACTTCGAAAATCAATTCGGAGTGAAGTTCACGGACTTTAGATTTTCAAAGCTTCTATTTCTCTCTCAGAGCCTCTCATTTCTCTCTCGCTTTATCTTTCCATGACAATTGTAGAAAATTTACTTCGATTAAAACACACTTTTATTTTTATCTCGTCTAATCGAATATACTGAGCATACGTGACAAATGTAAATCTTGTTTCAGGGAAGGATCGGCAGAAGAGTTCTTCATCGACGTGATCTTGCAACGTCACGCCCGACGGCTTCTCTCAGCTCGCCGCTTGACCGATTTGGGTAGGTTCGCGGCTCGTCTTGACTTTCACCTGGTGACTTGGTTCGCCCGGGAGCGCGACAGAGCGGCGAAAGTCGATGACTATGTGGGAACTTTGAAGGCTGTCCACGAGGACTTCGCATTTCCGTACCCGACTCTTTCGTTGCCGACGCTGCAGAGATTTCGCCGGTCCAGCCTCACGTCTCTGCACTCGGTGATGTCCGACGACGAGACGTTGTCGCCGAATTTGAACGTCGATCTACCCGACAGTGGATACACCAGTCTTCCAAGTGGTAGGCCACCGTATACAACGTTGGTCTCACCCGTCGCCAGCTTAGAAACGCAATTTCCGACCGCAGAAGCCAAGTTAACGCCGAATCTGATACACGGTGAGCCGTGACTTCCATTTCGAAGGAGAATCAGCGTACATCGATTCCCTCTCGTGCGGATTCTCCTCCGAAGCCACGAGTTTTGATAAATCTTCGTAAATGTCAGGTTGATGCGAAAGTTTATCCCGTTTTTCAGTAAAAACGCACACGTAACATTTATTCACTTTAAAATACAATTAATCGATTAAGTATGCACCATTTCGCTCGATAACCTGAGCGACCCGCCGTCTCTCGAAGAACCGATTAAATGATTGGAAAACCGGACGAAATTCTGCATCAACAACCCAACGAGTAAGTTTCCACGTGTGCAGATGTTATTTCCGCGTTTCGTCTAATTATAAAATTTCAGACGCCAACAGTGTTCTTAGCGATACCAGTACGATCTGGAGGGACGACGCAGAGTCCATCGTCGGCTCTGTGTGTTGGGTCTCGCCGGAATCGGTGGGACCCACGGATGTCCAACAAGCTTCGTCAGCCTCTGCGCCAATCGGCCGAGCCGAAGTGCAGCTCAGGTACTGATATATGCGCATATGCTATGTAGCGTCATGAAAATATGCGGAACCTGTTTCACAGCATCACGACCGCTTCTCATACTTTCGGAATTCTTGCAGGTATTTGCTGCAACTATTTCTCGAAGGCTGCTGTCTAGGATGGGCTGCTGTGGTAGCGACCGTTCTACGCGACGGGGCAGCCATGGCTAGAACAGTGAGAACGGCACACGCGCCGATGCAGACTATCGATTCTGTGATCAATTTGAGGGACGGACTGCTCACGTTGACCAAGTGGTCTCACTCAGAATGGTATATATAATTATAAAAGTAACGGTTTATACACGTGATAATTTTAATTTCTTATATGCTTATTTATTTTCAATATTTTTTAATTTTACATGTTTAACTTTTTACTAATGTTTATATATTATCGATACTCTGATAATAAAATGTATAACTCTCTTATATTGATATATAATTTATATTAATTAGTTATTCAGTCCTCGACCTCTTGTAGGAAACATTGATCGTATGTTTCTGTTGCAGTTTAGGATACCGTCCGTTTATGTCCAACATCCAATACCAGATATCGCTGTTGAATAGACTAATAATATCGAAGCAGCAACAGGAACAGGAACAAATACCGGAGAGCCCCTCGCCGAGTCCGGCTCCGTCGGCCAGCAGCAACCAACGCGGCACTCTCTCTCGCTCAAGACACTCGTCGATCAGTCATGCTTCCAATACGACTCCGCTGGAGGAGGAACGCGCGCATGAGTCATCCTTGACCGCCGAGGAGTCGGCGTTCCACGGAAGCTACAATAATCTCAACGTTGCGGAGGACACCTCGTCGCAGAATGCCTGCACGATCTCTTAAGAGTGCCTTACAGGCACCGGAAGCAATGGCTGTTCATTCCTCTGTGGATTCTACGTACCAAAAAGAGAGAGACTCCTCTCTCTTTCTCTCCGCCCGAAGCGTCCGTTCTGGAAGTTTTACGTACACACATTAAGGGTCTTACTCGATTACGTTAGTCCTGGTCTACAATAGGTATTTTAAGCCTTAAGCCTTCAGAAATTGACCAGTCACAATTAGTTATTCTCTTTACCATTCGACTGTGATCGGTCAATTTCTCAAAGCTTAAAGCGTCTATCGTAGGCCAGGGCTTACAAACTGAGATTTCGTATTATAATTCCGCGATTATCGTTTCGAAGGGTATTCGCACGTGATACATCGCCGGAGACGCGACGATTCCTGTAACGCGACAATATTCTACAAAATTGGTATTATCATTAGACCCTCTCCCTCCCTCCAACCGCGGTACAGGCGGTTTCGAAAGTCCCTTGTAATTCGATGAAATCTCGAGAATTTTGTAAATAAGACTTCGAAGCATTTTTTTATTCACTTTACATCGCGCGGAGGTAATTGAATTGTACAAGGTGAAAAATATGCGAGAGCCAGGAGAACGCGCACGTGTATATGCAAACGTTCGCCGTGTATTACTGTTAGAAGGTATACGTTGCGCCGGGAAAGAAAGACGAGACTCGGGGGTGCACAATTGTGCAAGACGCGGGCCAGGGTGGTTGCAAGATTATCACGTCGTTGCACACACACAGAAGCACGTACTCACGGGCTAGGAACGCGCATTAGCTCATTCGTGAATCATGGGCAATAGCGAAACAGCAATATAACGGAGCCAATGAACAGAGCCGTTCAAAGACGTTAAATCAAAATTGGCGCGCCAACAGGTCTGATATTACACTGATAATTATGCAATGCGAAGCGAAATATTAGTAAGCTATTTATACATATTGTAACATAGATAGTCACATATAAATATATGTTATATTTTCCCATAAGACACCTTTCTTGTCACCAGTCGTAGGTAACCGAGGAACACGACTCGCCGACAGCTTGAAGACGGATTGTAAGCGTGCCAAAATATTCATCAATTCGAACTGCCCGTGCGCGATCGATCGAATAGCCGACGACGAATTGCTTGATTTCGCTTCCAAATTAATACCTTCGCGGATAGTTTCCACGGATATTTCATGAATACTTCTGGACACTTGTTATGGAAATGCTCGGAAAAGAATCGCTAAATTATTCCTTTGATTATTTATTGCATTTTCTAGGGAATAATTGAACGATTTTGATCGGGAAGCTTTCCGAACAGTTCCGTAATAGATATACAATTCACTTCCGTAGGAAGAGGAGTGACGACCTGAAATCGAGCATTTTTTGTACCGTAAAAGCCAAAAATATCAGATTAAATGGTCGATAAATTGTTAACGACTTCGCATCGATCGAATTTAGATTCGTTTTCGCGACGTTAGTCGTGTCCCACATTTAGACTGGATATTACGGCGAATGTTAACTTCACAGGTGTTTCACGTGTGTTACGCGTGATATTTCCCCGTCGATCTGTGACGTCGTTTCCTCTGAAAAAAATTACGCGTTACTCAACCGCTACAAGGAAAGTCCACTTTATCCTGCGGCATAATTGGGGAAAGGTTGTATTCGTGTCGCAGTTGAAAGCGTCTATTAATAATGGCTTTCAATCCATCAGTCAGTTATCCAATTTGCCGTTGACATTTCTACATATCTACGCAAATCTACAACGTATTTTACAATTTGACGTATTTTACGTTCTGGCGTCAATCGTAGCCCGTCGTAACTCGAATTCGTCGTAACTCGGAGGGAAAATAATTAGTGGGGACGCGCGCAAGGAGACGCACACAGTGGTGTAAAAAAAGAAAATCCGCAGATACTCCTTTTATTAACAGTTTCGAAATTTATCGTAGAGAGGAAATACACGTGGCACGATAAGACCTTGTTTTCATTAATTACGAATTCTCTAATGAAGTAAAGTATTCTTATGAATACTTTAATCAATCTTTTTGAATAATTCAAGATGAGAGACCAAGAATAAAAGCCGTCGCCTGATAACAGTGCGATAGTATAATTCTTGATGCGTAATAATGAAAAAAACGCAGTGAAAACAGACCAACCGATTCTTGAAATGCCGTCGAATTTTGTTTTACGAAGTAATGAAAAAAAAATGTGCGATCCTTTATGTCGAGACATCACCTTGCGAATACAAACGAATAACAGGAATCAAGGACGGCTGATCTATATGATACAAAATCAAAACTTCTACAAATACGGCATGTCAACAAACATTTACACCCAGTTGCTGGCATAATCTCGCGCTGTGAAGACGAGTCTCATTTCTAATGGAAAAAGTCTAGGCTCCTCTCGAAGGAATTCGGTGAAACTCGGGAGTGATACGAGGGCCTTTCATGCGTCGTTACTTTCCCTATTAAGCATTAAACGAAGCATCTGAAACCTGTCGAATAACGAAGCAACATCCCGCGCTGGTTTCTTCGAGGCAATGGATCAACCGAACATGTCCAGGTAAAATTTACGAACAACAATCTCGATCGGAAAGAGTTATCCGAATCGTTCGGATAGCTCCGTTGTATTGTTTTCTGAAGGTGTAAGTCCAATAGCAAAAACTGTAAGAATCAACTCGAAATTGCGGATGTGTTAAATAATTCTACCGCAAATAGATATTTCTTGTTAACTTCACTTTATCAGCTTAAACGTAGACATTTTATCAACGACCCACGGATAATCTTATAATTTGACGTGAAATGTGGAATGTACGGATGGACGGCTCATATTGCTTTTGTTATTTAATCGATATGTATTACATGGCATTTTCTTCTGATCGGCAAATTGTCAATACCATATGTCTATGATTCGGCCGAAAACTCTCGCTCGTTCAGTCTTATCGTTTATTCTTTGTCCGTTCGCGAAGAAACAAGAGCAATTGATGTCATTGTCGATGTTGCTGAGCATTTGGAGCAATCAAGGATACAATCTTATCCGGGCACGGTGATTTGACAAAACGCGCGTAAACAAACGCGCTTCTTTTACACGGGTATTAAGACGGCATTAAGAATTCCCGTGTGGCCGAGTATCGCGATCATTATTTGTCACCTTAATACGCGCCTTCTTAACGTAGAGTACACAACAACGCTACTGAGGATTTTACACGGCGCGGTATCATTATACTCGTATTTTGACACTCGCGTATGCAACGAAAGCACAATCCATCTCTGCGTCTTTCCTCGTTATTCCACTTAGGGAAAAGTTAATTTGGGGAAAAGGACGATTCGTTCGATCGTGCAGTTTTCGTTCTTCTAAAATTGCACACGCTCAACCGCGTCTTTGCATATTAGTCGCGTAAATCTGTCAAAATCGCTGCGACACTCGACCGTACCGTTAAAATAACTGGAAGAAAAACACAGAGGAACTATATTTTATCTATGAACTGATGTCTTCGAAAAAAGTAGACTGAAAATTAACAAAGGATGTACAGAAACAAATAGTTTTAAATCAATGATAGATATTCTCAGATATAAGCAAGAATACTATAATATATTCGTAGAAGATTTTTACATTTTTACATTTTTTTCTGAATTTTTCTTGAATTGAGTGTGAGTAATACTTGCATCGATGCAAATTCAATCAAATCGAGAATGAGAATTTTCCATGAAGATTATAATATTCTTATTTATTCATAAGAATGTCTGTCATTGATTTAAGACTAATATTTCTTTTCTGCGAGAAGAACGATATAAACTACGACGAACTGTTGAGCGTAAATGAGCGAGGATTAATGAGAAGTCAATAATCGCATAACGGTGCTTTGCGTTTCAATGTAACGTGAAACCTTGAGAGACATGGTAATGGTGAATTAGTCTCACGGTGATAATCTCGTGTTAAAACGATAAGTAATCGCGAAGGGAGAATCGTGTACACGCACGGGACAAGCGTGGTCTCATCAGCTCAAACAAACTCGCTCTTCGCGGGAAACAATACTCAGCGATAAGCCGTTGCACGTGAAAAATATTCACGACAGTTGGCTCGCGTGATCATCGTATGTACCTTCGTTTGTGAACGATAAGCGAACGCTTGCACAATGTGTACGGCACATGCAATCCCAGATGCATAGCACACAAAATATTCTACGAGTGTTCTTATGAAATACGAGTGCTTTTTTAATCCCAGAATATTCGAGGATCGAAGATATTCTATAAATATACGTAGAATTTTTTGTAAAGCAGAGGTTTTTTGTAATCATATATTTATAATGGAAAAGAACGTTCTTAGAATATTCGTAAAGTTCGCGCACGCTACAAATGCATTGATCCAACTGAAAAGTAGATAATCCGGTGCATCCTGTATACATACTACGACGTACGCGCCTAATTGGAAACCGGAAATCTACATGTGTACGCGTGAGATTGTTTCGTGTATCTTAGTCCCAGGAGCTCTCCATATACCTGCCTACAAGATTCGATGGAATATTCTATGTAAATTTGCAGGACGTCTATAGTAGCATCATTCGAGTACACTAAGGACATGTAATGAACATAACGAGTCTGTTTTTTTAGCTGAATTGGCTGCACTAATTCGAGAAATTTACGCACACCGAAGCGTGACCAAGTAAGCAAGAAATGCTTAATCAATTTCGATACAATACATGCACAAACATTTCGATACAATACTTTACAAATGTTTCTAAACCGTTACTTGATAATATAATTTTACGCAATAATATTCCTAAATATTATAATCGTAGCGTAGAAATATTGTATCTAACGTTTGAGTCAAATATTAATGATGATTAATTGTATGTAACATTAAGAACTACATATTTGAAAATGTTACATATTGTGAAATATTGCAATAACGTTGTATTAATCATTCCTTGTTTACCGAAGAGAATCTTTTATGTATGCTTTATACGCTTCAATATATACATTTCTCGGATCAGTTCAGCTAAGAGGAACAGACTAAATTCATATAACAGTGTTTTAATACATTCTACGAATATACAAATATTAGTAACGAATATATACAATTCGCAGGCCATTCATATAAATATTCCTATGCTATCTGGGATCTGTCATGGTAATGAAGACACCGCGAACGTTGTGATTACTATCTCTCGCTCGACTCACGGCTTTTTGAGTATGACGTGCGTTGCGTGCGATCGAATCTCGCGGATTCCTTCCTCGCGTTTCCCGTTCCGAGCAAACATTTGCCGTTTTCCATTTGCGTTTGTGGAGGACGAACCGACCGATCGTGCGCCCGCTATGCTTGTTACGTGCGTCACGATCGCGTTGATATGGCTCGCAGAGCGAGCTAATTAACGGATGAGACCATTTCGATTGATTTTAACGCAATAATTTGCGGGATTAATCACCGGAGCGCGGTACGTACAGGCGTGTACGTGCGCTTTATTTTTAACTTTAGGAAAATCCCCCGGGTGGGACGGATGACGTTTGCATGCCGCGTTGGGTAACGATGCGGTCGCGAGTGCGTCGTTATTGCGTGCGGAAACGAGGTGGTGCCGCGCACGATGCGTCAATTCATAAATCGAATACATACTCGCGCGAGACGTATTTTGTCTCCTTCTATTAGGTTGGTGCGTATGAAATGTCGCATTCTCTTTACATGCGGACGTTTTCCTCCCTGTTTTCGTTATACTTTTGTATTTGGCATAACCTCATTCATACTCGTATTGTCCATTGCCAGAGACTCATTTCAACAAAATAGGTTTTCTCGAAGGTCTTCCCTTTTTTATTTCTTTTGAGTTTATTACCGATATGAATTCTGCCGACATTCGCGTCATTTTCTTATATGAGTACAAACTTGGTAATAGTGCTGCAAAAGCTGCACGCAACATAAACCAAGCGTTTGGGGAGAATACGGTTAACAATCGGAAAGTGCAGCGTTGGTTCGAAAAATTTCGGACTGGCGATTTTTCACTGCAAAATGAGCCGC